AAGAGTTTATTTGTTTCTGCATAGAAACAACCTAAAACACTCAGAACACCCTAGAAACTGCAGAAAAATAGCCTAAAACACTCAAAACACCTTAACAACTATTTAGAAATGGCCTGAAAATGCTAAATGTTTTGTCTGTGTGTTTCATGTGTGATTTCAGACGGTCATCACAGTACAGACCCATGGAGCTCGTCCGGCAGTATGAATCAGCCCGGATACAACAGCATGCTGGGAAACTCCACACACAGCGCTCAGAGCAGCAGCTACTGCGGCATGCATCCACACGACAGACTCGTGAGCGCATTTTTTAAGTCAAAGACAATGATACTATGTGTGTGTGTGCCTGTGTGTGTGTATATATACATATATGAAGAGTTTATTTGCAAAAACAGATAACTCAATTTTTGTTTATTTTCAAAAATCATGTTTTTTTTTTATTGTGCATTCCAAGTAATATCAATCAAACTGCAGTTGGGTTGTTTTGATTGAGTAATAATAACTTAAATAAATACAGGTAACTTACAAAATTAAAGTTCATTGTATGTTTTTATATATATTAAAAGCTTGTTTTATAGCAAAAGCAGATAAATTCACATTTCATGTTTCAGAGTTAAATAAAAACCCTTTTTTAATCTTTGTAATCTCCTCAGCTGACAATGTAGACGCCTGACAAACGTTGTTGTGATTTTAGACTTTATGGTTGTGATTTTACGCAATACACGGAGCTTTTCCCTCACCATTGTAACGCGCTGCTTTTGCAAGGTATAATGAAAAAGTTCCAGCTTTTATTTTTCCTTTTTCGCCCTGAACAAGATATCACAGGTTCATCAAGTTCGTCGAAATGATCCTCGATCTCTTTTAGTCAGCTTTGACGAAACTCCTCTCAGCTAGCGCGTCTTTTCAAGGTGAAAGTAGCCTTGTCACCTGACCTGAATACAGCGCGCTGATTCGCTAACATGGACTTATCGGCTTCTGTTCAAAAACAGCAAGTGCGCTTGTCGGAGGTTCAAATCGCACTATAATGTGGAGAATAATGCACGGCAATCAGTTCATTTTTTGAAGGTGGCGTTTATCGGTTTTTGCAAATAAACTCTTCATATATTATGAACTGTCTTTGAATCTTTTGGAAAAAAAATTTGAATCTTGAATTAAAATGAAATTAACTCAAACGCTCTCCCTCTCTGTTTTTCAGAGTTACCCGTCGCACTCGTCAGCTGAGATTAACCCCAGTCTTCCTCCCATGTCCAGTTTCCATCGCAGCGGCGGGACGAATCACTACAGCGCGGCTTCCTGCTCCACCACCACCAACGGGACAGAGAGCGTCATGGGTGAGTCCCCTCCTAATCTAAGCCAAGTGAAGATTTGATTCTCTTCACTTCAGTCACTCTAACACAGTGCAAACAAAAGCAAAGCTGGAATATTAGGATAATAAATCAGAAGGAGCTAAGGGAACTACAGGTGATCAGGTTCAGCTGCCCAACAACATTAGTGATTAATCAACAGGTCTAGCCATGTTAAGATGATCCATAACTCTTTCTGATCGACTGATGAGCAGCATTAGTCATTCCTCCATCTGTCAGTTCAGAAATCAGCATTGCATGAACATTTTCTGTTTTCAAAATGTTTTTGTGAATTTGAAGTAAATATTAACCGTCACAAGCATGTGATTCTCAACCTTTCTGACTCCATGTAGGTTTTTTATTTTTTTATTTATTAAAACCCAGAGTGTTAAATTAAATTAAATTAAATTAAATTAAATTAAATTAAATTAAAACAAATTAAATTAAATTAAATTAAATTAAATTAAATTAAATTAAATTAAATTAAATTAAATTAAATTAAATTAAATTAAATTAAATTAAAACTTCAGGGTTTAATAATTAATTTATATGAAATTAATATTTAAAAAAAATTATAACTCACAAATGACAATATCTCTGCAATTTTTGCTCAACAAAATATTTTAGCTAGAAAATGTGTATTCATTATAGTGCTGTCAAATTATTAATTGCATCCAAAATAAAAGTTTTTGTTTACATAATATGTGTGTGTGTACTGTGTATATTTATTATGTACCGTATTGTCCCGAATATAAGACGATATTTTTTTCTTGGAAATACATCTGAAAAAACGCGGTCGTCTTATATTCAAGGGTCTAGACTTTGACATGTCAATAATACACCCACAACAATAGGTGGCGCCAAAACCGCATAAAACGAGTG